ATGGAAGTACAAGAGAATTAGAGACAGACTATTATCTGGGTGGATATGACATTGACAGTGACTACCCACCACCCCAGCATGAAGACTATTTAAGTCAAGACCAGCTACCACCTCCTCTTCCAGAGGATTTCCAAGATCATTATGATACACTACCCAAATCCCAGCCAATATCTGTGGTTAGCACACTCAGTCCTGACTGCAGAAGACGTCCCCAGTTCCACCCCAGCCAATACCTCCCGCCTCATCACCTATCAAATGAAATAGAGACAAGTATTTCACAACCTGGACCTTCATTTAGTACTTTTGTACCAGGCCCGGGTCAAAGAGTGGAAAAGACAAGCACAGATAACATATCTTTATCCTTGCACAATTCAGTAGGTGCTTCTTCATCAGATATCTCAGCTAGTTGTGGGTTTGAAGATACAGAAGTAGCCATTAGTGACTATGAAAGTTTGGATGACTTTCGTATGGATCATTCACACATTCCCTATATGGAAACGCAACATCAGACTCAAGTGTGATGGATTTTTTTTTATATATATATACATAGGAGATGAGACTTAAGTGTACAATTAAAGCAAGTCATACAATGCTCAACATGAGACATGGTCACCATAACCACAACATGTGCAAATTAATACATTACAGTTGTTTTGACAACATGTCAGTGATTTATTGCAAAAATAAAGCATCCAATACTTTTAACACTTTGCTGAAATCTGTTGCCAAGAGTATGCACATAGTTTTGGTACTAAGATAAATAGGATTTCAGTATTAAAAGCGTGTTCGTGGTTTTGGAATTCTAACCTAATGAATACACAAAATGTATCATCTACAGTGCCATGAACCAATGGAACAATTATTCCTGATATATGTGTGTTAGAATCTTTGTTAATTCACAAATAAATTGCAAAGACAAAAGTAAGTCCTGGGGCTGTGTGAAGAAATGTGAAATGGAAGAAAGGAAACTTACGAAAATAGCACAAGACTCAAAAATGTACCTAACAAGTGCTTTAAAGTTATTACGCTTCTTCATCGCCATAAAGTGTATGCATATTGCAACATAATTTAGCCATAGGTCTAAATAGAACGATTTTACAAAGTTGGGTGCCTTGAATATTCTGGTTGTATACAGTTAATGCAAAGGCCATTTCCAAGTGCTCCAAAAACCACACTGAAGAAATATTAGCAACCATTATTTTGACCACCAAAATCATGTTGAATTTAATTGCAATATACCATAGCCAAACAGAATTTACTCATTAAGCAATAAACTATTTTACAGTATATTTTGTCTTTCTGGCGGTAAAGCTGAGCAGTATGACGTATACCAGATAATTGTAGAAGACAGCTTGCCATGCTTGGACTAATATTGCATTTTCTTGAGGATAATTACTGTTGATCAGGGGTTTTCTTCAGTAAAAAAAACAAAAAAAAACACTTTTATCCATAAGATACACATTAAGAAATGCTGATTGATGATAATTTAAATCAGCCAAAACATAAATACAGGTGTGTAAATTACGCGTGTATAAAAAAAAAAAATCTACACAGAAATAATTACCCAACAGTATTAAACATTCTTAAAATTGCCTTTTATTTATGCAATTTATTTCAAAATTATTTTCGTTCAAACTTTTTTCAATTTTTTTTCCTCTTTAATATAGAGGTAGGTAGTTAAACAGGGTTCAGTGGGTTTTTCACCATTGTTTGCCAAACTGATTGTACATTTTTAGGTAATTTTAATATGTATTCCAGGCAGTTTTAACATAGTTTATGCCACTGATCTCTACCTACCTCTTTCAGAATATGTCATAATTTGATTTTGAAAAAAATACATGATATTTTCACTGGAAAACAACAAACTATATTCTGAAGCTCTGGGGTGTCTAAGAGTATACCATAAAAATGGCAGCTTGGAATTATGGGTTTTAATTTTTATTTTTTTATTTTTTTTTATTACAAAATCTTTTTTTGTATTTTTATTGTTTTGTGAATTAGAGCGTCCAGAACATTATTATACAATTATTCTGCTGTTTTATTGTAATAATATTACTGTAACAAAATCCTCTTACACAAAACATATTCTCTTCTTGTACTTAGTGTCCAAGTAGAATTGTTACTTAGCCTGTTACAAAATATTAGTGAAGACAAATTAATAGAACAACTTGGTAATATTAGTTAGCTAGATATTTTACTTAGAAACTAGCAAACCTTGATGTAGATAGAAAATTAGGTGGCATTAGTAAAGTGCATCATTGTTATATCATTGTTTATTAATTATTTGTTAAAATATACGATAAATGTACAGTAAACTTAATCATGTGTAAGGGTACTGGTCACATCAAAAGGGACATTTACTTTAAAGATTCAATTAAAATAACTGAAACATAATTACTTTTAGGACATATTGAGTAATAAGTGAGTAATTCATAAAAAAAATTCACAATCCACAGTTCCTTATATAATATTACTGTAAGTAATTATAAAAAAACAAAAAAAATTCTGAGCATAAAATATAGTGTTCTCTTGGCCAAAAGTGGTATATATTATCTTCTTCTAATTATTAACTACTTAGAAGCATACAAATTATTTTCTCTTTCATTAAGGTGAAGGTATCTTTCAAATACCTTTCATGCTTTGAAATATAAAACAAAGAAAAAAAACACATTCAATTTGTTTATCATTCATCTAAAAAGTAATTATACCAGCACCCATGTACAGGTTTGAGTGCCAACATACATCTGTATTTTGTGTTTAATTATTATTTATCCGAAGAACAGACTTTCAGATAGTTAATGTATGAAATAGTAAGTAAAGGAGCCCCGAATCACATTGAACATAAAAATATAGCAACGGAAAACGCAACATAATTGGCCAAACTGTCTCAGTGATCTTCCAAAAAAGGTCCTTTATAAAGCTTTCTTTTGTTAACTTATATTACTTGCACTTAGAAATAGGCACACACAATGGTTGTGACATGGACAATTATGTCACAAAATAATGTTCAAAAGGAATAAGAAAATGCACATAATTTTAGCACGTTTTGTTAATTTTTACATCAATACGTAAATAAAGCCATGTACTCACCACCTCTTCTCCCACACCAAGTTTTTTTCCGCCGGCAGATTACTGACTTTTTCCCTTTTACGTAAAGAGCAGATCACAAATGAGTGCATTATATAGTACTGTTAATATCAATTAATTCATAAATAAAAGCAAACCAAATAAGACATGCATTACTTGCCATTTACTAATCTTCTATTTGCCCAATACAGTTAGAAAAATTAATGTGTCACAATAAATAGAATTAAGGAGGCAAATTTCAAACTCTCTAAAAATAATTATTAATCTTACTGTGAATATTTACCCAAATATAGGGTATATCGTTTTTATTATTATCCTACATGATGTAGTGATTAAACTTTGATACCTTCCCAATCATACTTTCAAAAGTTTCTCCTCCATCCTTCAATATAGACCTCAAGGATCAGTGAGCACACTAAGCCATTACCTAAATGGTAGTGCCACGTATGGTTAGCTAACAGGTAGATCTCCAGCTGATTTTGAAAGGCAATGTCAATCATTCTCGAACTGACTTTAGCAGCAAACAGGTTAAGTGAGGACTATTCGACCACAGCTTAAGTGTGCATCCTATTTTAGTCAAACTCCTTTATTTGGAAGGTATTGGGTGTATTTAATAAACAGGTTATTAAGGAGAGCTGAAAAGAGAATGTGACATTTCCGTTACCTCCAAAATAGCAAAACTTGAAAAATATTTGATTTTAAGGATAATTCAGATTCTTTTTTTTTTGGACTGAAAATTTGCAATTCCCTTCCTGAAGTTCCACAGTTATCAGTCTATTGAATAACCACGTGTTTTGACAAGGTATTTCAAATAAAACTGCATTGAAGTAGATGGGAGGATTAAATCCATATTAAATCTCCAATTTCTTAATTGTCTTGAGTTTCTGAAATCAGTCCAATGTATTTCTATTTTACAAACTGTATTTAATAATGTCCCACTTTTCAAATGGATATTAAAATAAAATGGATATAAGTTAACTATTAACTTTCTCTATAATTAAGTATTATGCATTATATCTATAAATGAATAATGCAATTATCTATAAATGAATAATGCAATGTGATGATACAGGAAATTTCAGTTTATAGATTGTGGTTTGGATTGCACTTTTATTCCTCATCTTGAGTATAATATTACACAGCTTTTGTTTACAAATACATACAATACAAAGTGCTTGGATATCAAAGCAAAATAACACATTTCTAAGTGAATGGGTATTTTTTTTAGCTAGTACAACTAATAAACTCTACCACTAGAGGGAGACAAAGTCTTGGCAGAATCCCTACAGATCAAACTACATGTGCTTATCCATATTTACAGTTAAATGTTTGTACAATGGTCATAGATGTTTCCTGTGTCTGGATACATTTTATTTTGATTGATTATAGGTACCATAATTAATATGCATATAATGTTAAGTCTGTGAAGTCGGCCTACTTCTCTCTTTTATTAACATGTTTTGACCGATTTCAAAACGTGTCTCTATTTAAGACAACAATGCATGTCGTTTCTGGCATCCATCATAATACTTGCAAACATACTTTATTCCTTTGTATTATTTATTTGTATCCTTACTTAGTTTAATCATGACTTAGTCTCAAAATAATTTCGTAGAGACAAACGGATAACACTGTCTAGTGACCAAAACTCAACTTGTGTGGTTAAAATTGTTTCCAATCATAATTATGTAATGACATGTCAGAGTTAAAGCCAATACAAATCACAATAGCACTTAGTCATAGGCCTAATAGGTACCTAATAGAAAAAGTGCAAAATAGTAAAATACAATCAGTTGTAAAAATAATTATCTATATTGTCATTAGTGATGTCCCGAACGGTTCGCCGAACGGTTCGCGAACGGTTCGCCACAGACTCATCATTGAGTAAACTTTGACCCTGTATCTCACAGTCAGCAGACACATTCCAGCCAATCAGCAGCAGACCCTCCCTCCCAGACCCTCCCACGTCCTTTACATTCATTGTGAAGCTGCATTCTTAGTGAGCTGTCCAGGAGGTGGGAGGGTCTGGGAGGGAGGGTCTGCTGCTGATTGGCTGGAATGTGTCTGCTGACTGTGAGGTACAGGGTCAAAGTTTACTCAATGATGAGATCATGGCGAATCGTTCGCGAACCGTTCGGCAAACCGTTCGGGACATCACTAATTGTCTTCTATATTGAAAACCAATTCGAGCCAATTCCACATAATCTCTCTTTCCTGCATGATTATCAATTATATGTATGTTATTTTTATCCATTGTACAATGCTATGGCATATGGTAGACTATGTAAAATATTAATGTATTGTCTTAACTAAAGAAAAAAAAAAACACTTTCAAACTCTTGCAATTTACAAACAATTGTAACAACGCTAATTTTATCTTCATTGCAGTATTTCCAAATAATTTGCCTGCCTTTATTCATATATATTAAATTTGACTTTATTGTTTTGGTAGATTGAATTAATGTCAAAGGAGTAATTATAAAGCCACGCATATTTTTTTAATTATTATAATCATAGCAATAAGTCACTTTATAGCCAAATTTAGTGTAACAGATGTACCCATGGTAATTATGAATTTTATTTGCCCCTTAAGAGACGGAACGCCAAGCAATGCAATGATCTATGTATCCCTCTTCACCATTTAGTAGTTGTATTCACTATTAGAATTATGGGTAATTAACCCCTTAAGGACACAACTTCTGGTATAAAAGGGAATCATGATGGAACATTTCTGTCATGTGTCCTTAAGGGGTTAAGTTTTGCTTTATTTATTTATTGAACAGTGAGCTGTAGAAAGTCGACAAACGGCTGGCTATATGCATGTCAATGTAGCTGACTTTAACCTTTTCCAGTCTAAATTCAGAAACTCATCATAACTCACTATTTAGCCAATAAATTCTTAAGAGCAACTTTCTATATTCTAGAAATTACATATAACTGATATAAAAGCCCACGACACTGCATTATTTAGCATTTTTTATTTGAATACATTTATTAACACTGTATTGAAAAACTTACATGATATAATTTCCTGTTGTGAACAGGCTGGTATTCAAGGATGTATGTTTTGGTGTTCAAAATGTTTGTAAAAAACGGTCTAAAATGTATATAGTGATTTTTATTTTTACGGTTCTTGTAGATATTAAATGGCAATCATGGTTTGTTTTGTTTTTTGTTATTTTTTTTGCATCTAATATTGAAAATGTTACTGGCCACATAATAAATTAAAAGGCGAAATTGAAATTAGAATTTTTGCATAAAAAATTGTATGTGTAATTGTGTTAAATATACTGTACATTTTTTTTGGGTGCGGGGGGATTTTTCAGTTAACTTCTGTTTTTAAGGATTTTTTATGAATGTGATTTGCACAGTTCCTTTTAAAATGTATAATGTTTCAAAATTCCAACGTTGCTATGTCTCTAGTAATGAGACAATAATTATGCAAACGGAAAGGTGGATTGGACTAATTGTAGAACATCACCCAAAGAATGATGGTTCTCGTATGTATTTTCCGATTGACAGTATTACACATTTTATTTCTTGTTCTTTTTTTTTTCCTTACAAAAAAAGAAGTGTATAGGTTTGTAAACTGTCAGAATTTGATAAACTTAATGGTTAACAAATTTACAAAAAATATGTGTTTTGTATTTATTTTACCAGTAAAGAAAGCGTGATGAGATGAGAATTATTGTGCAGTTTATGAGGTGTCGTTTTCTACATTTAATTTAATTTTTACACCTTATACATATTTCATAAATATAATATAAAATATAAAAAATACTGAAAAGTGACAGTTCCCCTTTAATTTCTATTTGACTGTTTTTGTTTTTTCTTCTCTTGTTAATATCTCTGTTGATATTTAGTATGCCAACTACTTTTTCTCAAAGCGGCAGAATATGTTGGTGCTATAGTAATAGTAATAATAATAAATATAATAATAATAAGTCAAAATTGAACACAACAAGTTCACAAACAAGTCAGTAAAACACAGAGGACAAAGAGATACAAATCAAATTCACCACATTACATGCAACAAACTGCCAGAACAACCAGGGAATACTTTACATAATTTCCTAGAACATCGAATTCTTTTAGTAGTGTTGAAAAGAATGCCTTATTAAAAATACAAAAAAAGAATTAAATTATCACTAATACTGTACAAATGGCTGTTTTTTTGTTTTTATAAATGGCTGATGAAGAGTCTAGTGAAGATGGGTGGAAGCATTTACAATAATATTTAATTCTAATATCATTTATACATTGAAATATTACACCCAAACTTGAAAGGTAACCTGTGTGAGTTAAAGGCTTGCTAATTTGTTGTTAAATTAAACACAAATATTCAAATGTTTAAAGAGTTGTCCAAATATTAGCTATAAGGCAGTGCATCTTAATATTACTTAATATTCAAAGTGAACAATTACAAAGTCATGAATACATGAGAATGAAAAGTGAACTTAAAGCATATTTTAAATTGCTGGCCAAATTATTATTGTTGTTATTATTATTATTATTATTATTATTATTATTATTATTATTATTATTATCTGCATTTATATAGTGCCAACGTATTACGCAGCACTTACAATATTATAAAGGGAGAAAGTTAACAATAAATGTTACAGAAACAATAAGTAGATGAATTTACAATCTAGAGGAGGTGGCGTTTAAAACACAATAGAAAGGACAGAGTGGGGGGGAGGTTAAAATTTACATATAATCCAGCATCATCAATGCAGCCCATTTTGACAGTGCTAGACTAAGTTTGCTCTGATTCCTAGGCATGTGCTAGGCTGGGACACTCTCCTAGAGCCATGGGCCATGATCTGTGTTGTGAGTAGGCAGGGCCTGTGCAAGGATTTTTAGGTACATAGGCAAATATGCATTTTTCCGTGCCCCCCCCATTTCCCTCCCAAAATAATTGAATCTTTACCTGTGTGCCTCTTTACCTCCCTTTTGTGATTCTTATCCCCTCTTTTAAATGTCTTACCACCTTTAGTGTATCTTATCTCCTATGTTTTGTATCTTACAACTCCCTTGTGTCTCTTATCCCCCCTCTTTATATCATTCTCATGTCATCCCACATTTTGTGTGTCTTACTCCTCCCAGCTCCTTTGTGTGACTCCTTTGCTCCCAGCTTTGTGTATTTTGCTCTTCCCAGCTCCTTTGTGTGTGTCTCTTTCACCCCCAACCAATCTGTCACCCCCAGCTCCTTTGTGTGTCTCTTTTTCCCCTTCTCAAGCCCCACTGTGTGTTTCCTTCATATCCAGCCCCTCTCCCCTCCTGGTCCCTTAGTGTTTCTCTCCCGTCCCCCTCCTTTCCCTGTCCCTTAGTGTTTGTCTCCCCTCCCTGTCCATTGGTGCACCCTCACCCCCTTAGGGGTCCCATTCCTGGTGTGCCTCCTACCTCTCTTGTGGCTGAGCGGCGTACAGGTTTTATGGAGTTTTTCCCCATTTTGTATCTTACAACTCCCTTGTGTATCACCAGCACAGCAGTATCCCCAATGTAGAGGTTTTATTGAGTTTTGGAAATTTACAGGGTCAAATATAAGGTTTGCCCATTTAAGTTTTTACACATGTAAAGGTACAACATGTATAGTTTTTATGGTGTTTTGAAAAATTACGGTGTTATATATAAGGCTTCCAAATTAAATTAAATTAAGTTCTGGACTTTATGCCTGGGTTTTCAGGCAAGTCCCTCAAATTTAATTTAATAAAATCACATAACTATATAAAATAGTACATATATACACATAGAATATGTGTCAGGCCTTCCAATCCTAAACAAGCTAGGCTTTTGATAGTAGCTTCTCGCCCGGCCATACTCACCATCAATGTCAGAGTCCTGCCGGAGTTCATGCCCTTCTGACCTCTTACCTCCCCACCACTTCCATATTACTGCTTCCTGGTCAGTCCAGAAATTGTGAGTCTGCCCGAGGGTTCTGCACACATGCTGCATTCGGCCGCCGTATGGCTGTCATACATACGAATTTGTGCATTTGTGTCTTTTCATACCATTCACTCATACTTACCTTTCTGTTCCATGTTGCGATACATATTCGATAAGCAACCATTCAAATTATTTATCCGAATGAGTGTCACTTAGGCCCCCTAGTGGCAAACATAATTGTGACTGTATCATTTTAACAATGTTCTATGTTACTATATTCGCATAATTTCAGCTTGGTATTCACTTGGCTCACTCCATTCGTACTGACATTTTACTGCCCCCCAGAGCCGGCTTTTATTATTACAATGTTTAACTAATTTTGAATGTATTTGTGTGGTGCATATATCCTACTTGGCTACTTTCTCTTATAAGTCACAAATGTTATTTATATCCTATCACTAATATGTCATGTACTATATTAGGATGCCACATCATTGGTGCACGTTATTTACCAATGTTCTCTTATATTGTTTACCTATTCCCCACGCTAGGTATAATTGCATTCCATATTGTAAAGCTCAGTATCATCGGTTGCCCTCAGTTCACTAAATCCACTTAGTGACAAGTCTTATCATTAAATCCACTTAATGACTAACCAAAGTTTGCATTGACAACCTGTCGTGTTAACTCCAGGCACTCCCATCCCGCCACTTAGTCAACTTTCTGGTTAAAGGTTTCACTGACGATTTCCACACAGGCCTTATCGCATTTACCACTGGTATTCACGAGTGTCAGAACTTACAGTCAGCTTTACTTGACCCCATCGACACAGATGCATTATTCAAGAAAGAGTTGGACAACAGATTCATGATAGGCCCCTTTTCACACACCGCTTTTTTGTGTTGGCGTACCAATCCCATAGGTATAGCCACGGGAAAGTTCAACAATAAAAAACAGCTAATTATCGATTTATCGGCTCCCCATTGTCTACTCTGAGCCTTAACTCATTGATTTCCCCAGAGGAATTTTCCTCGCAATATGCCACAGTGGGTGATGCCATTCATGCCAACTTGAGGGCAGGTGTTGGAGCTTGGCTGGGAAAAACTGACATTTCCAGCACCTTAAAACTTTTACCTATACATCCATCCCTGTGGCATGTGCATGGTATATTGTGGAGAAACAGTTATTAGTTTGCCACATGTTTGACTTTTGGAGCTAAGAGCAGTCCCTAATGGTTCATAATGTTTGCAAACACATTATGCTGCCTCCTCCTAAACATTTGTGAATGGCCATCAGTCATACATTACTTAGATGGCTCTCTCATGATAGAAAACCCTAATTTCACTACAATTAGCATTCACAAGACGATGGCACTTTCTTCATCTCTAAGGGTTCCGCTTTCTCAGGAAAAAACAGTAGGTCCTTTCACCAATTTTATTTTCCTAGGCATTCAACTAGACAGGCCACGTTACAGGCAAGTTTACCTATAGAGAAGTTACAGCATATCTGGGAGTCCGTGGAGTCTTTTCTTGTTAGGAGCATGTGTACTAGTTTAGAACTCTTTACTGGGCACGTTAAACTTTGCAATGAGAATAATTCCTCAGGGCGGTGCATTTATATGCTGACTGCTGTGCCTTCTTCCCCTTCTACATACTGACAATAGGTTAAAGGATGTACTAAGGATGTACACACCAAAGCAGATCCTTGCATGTGGCTCAGGTTCCTGTCCTACAGGAATGGGAAGGCCATGCTTATTCCCCCCCATCTCTGAACATTTCCCTGTAGTCTGGACACATGCTGCTGCCCACACAGGGTTTGCAGCTATCTTTGGTGACTCCTGGTTCAGAGATTCATGGCCAGTTGAGACCCTTGGTCTACCCTCTTTCCACACAATATCTGCACTGTTTGAAGTCTAGCCTATCATGGACACCTCTAAGGCCTGGGGGTATCAGTGGAAAGGAGAAGCAGTAAAATACTTCTCTGACAATAAAGCAGCTTGGGACATTATCAATAAGGGCAGGTCCTCATCCCTCATAATCATGAGGCTCATTAAACAGCTAATGTGGTTGGCAGCTACATTACAATTTCATATCACCTGCATACATATTCCCGGATGCATCAATAAAGCTGCTGACACATTATCTCGTTCTAATTTTCAGAATTTCTTTAAAGTCCACTCAACAGCCAACAACAATCCTGGCAACACTCCCTCATTCCAAAACTTAATCCTGGACTAAGTCGCCTCATGGCACACAGCAGGTTTCTGGCTAGCTCTGCCCTCTCTGCCAATATGTCACGTGCATACAATAGAGCCTTCACCCTTTATTCTAAATTCACCTCTGATTACCAAATCAGCGATACTCACTAGCTAAACTCCATAGTGGCATTTATCTCCTTTTGCCACCTCAATTTAAAACTATCGCTTAACACCATCAAACTCTACCTCACCGGTATACAACACTATATCCTAAGTGCCTTTCACAGCACAAATCCTTTCATGTCTTCCTACCCCATCGAGAACATACTCAAAGGCATACAACGATTGGACAAACCCACAGCCACTACTAGGCAACCTACTGACAGTCCTCTAATCCATTTGAACCCAATACAAATCTTACTATCAAAACTGCAGCTTACCTAGCCTTTTATGGCTTCTTACGTCCAAACAAATTTACTATCGATAACATCACATCCAATCGTCAACACCTTAGAATCAAGAGTCTACGTAAACATATGGATCATTGCGTACTAGCTTTAGATCGCTCTAAGAC